GGCGTCTAACGGGACGCAAGCCAATTCTGATTCCGTCAGTCCGTTGGGTGCGTGAAGCCAATCGGTCATATTAACTCCGCTAGCTTGAAGAGAGGCATGGTCGTACATGCGTCGAGCAATACTGGCAAGGCATAAGGAAGGGTATTCCACGTCGAATACCGCCTGGTCGATAGTTTTAGATTCTGATTGAGGTTGGTCGGGACTGGTAGACGAGGCGGTAAAAAGTCGACGCAATAGCACGTCAGAAAAACGAATCCGGAATCCAGATCCGGAAGAATAAGATGAGATCACGAAGCGATAAAATTCAGGGTTCCTGTTGTGAAATACAATAAGGAATCGATTACTTCAGAGTAATGCAAACTCATGTAGCTATCTTGACGATAACATAATATCATAACAAAAGGAGATGACGTACCGTTCCGGTGTGGGGAGATATACTATTGGAGCAGCAAGTCGACAGGTTGGATCGGAAGGATCAGGTTCGTTGAGAAAACGGAGAAATAGATCACATAATGGCCCTTTGCAGGGAGAATCCGGATTACTTCCCAGAACAATGGGGCTGAAAATTTTTAGAAAACGCGGCACCAGAGTGCTATTAAACGGTTACAATCGCGATGCAAAAAGGCTTTCTATGTTAAGGGTACATTCAAGGCACGGAAACGGTTGTGATAATAGATGCGCACTAGATTTTGAGTTGTGTTCGTCGAACATTAAATAACGCTTTCCATTAGTTATACGACCGAGGCACACCAATTTAATCTAAAAGACCCAATTTCATACAGTGCTATCGTGACAATAATTGCCAAGTCCTATGAGAGAAGCATCACAATTTCTATTAACGCGATGACTGTAAGCACAAGTTTTGTCCGTAAAAACAGGTCGGGAGAGCAGAACTGTATGCCACGGAGCGCGTCCCCAGGTTCGAGACAAGGGAATGGCCGTCATCTTGCCGTTAACCGTGAATGAGATGGGCGATCAGCCCAAGACATGGTATTAAGAGGCATGAAGTCAGCTTCAGCTCTAGCTATGGTTGGTGAAGCCCTCCTGGGACTCAAAGGATGAGAGCTGCCTGTGGTGAGTTACGCTGAGGGATATGGCCCAGAGTAGAAGACAGTAGCACGAATGCTGTTGCTGCCTGTTGAAATTCCGTGCCCCATAACGAAGAACACACACACACACATCAAAAAGTTTACGGTGAAACAAACGAAATATTGTTATTCACTGAATCAGTTTGACTCCTAATTCACTCTTACGAATCCCAACCTTCGTCCCACTTCATTATTCTCGTTGTTGCGTTAGCAACCGGCTTGTTCGCAAGCCGATGCGCTTCCCCGGAGTTTTGTCGAGTCATTCATATGCTATTTATTACAAAATGTACGTTTATATATCATAAAAACAGTCATTATACAACTCAGATATGAAAGCAGTAACAGCAAATTAATCTTAACTCAAAAATACTTACTCGTTTAAAGAATGTCCATTGAAGAGAGCGGCTCGCCCTGGTAGACTGGATAATGGAGTAGTCGCCGAGTTCAGTAAAGACCTTGGTTTGTTCGATGACGCAGGGGCCGTATTCGCTTGACGGGGACCGGGACGTTCATGTATCCGTGGTCGACCCTTGCGCCCACGAACGGAGCCTTTTGTTGAAGTAACCAAGGTCTCTTGACTGGTCTCGATTAGATGACTGCCTGGCTGCTGATCATGAATACAAAACATTCGGAATAAAAATGGGAGCAAATGAGAAACGAGGCGATGAACCGAAAAAGGATCACACCAGCATCACATCACCAGTTCGATCCGTAACTAGAGATGCTAACCATGTCAGCCTCGTTTTTTCCAAATCCAGATTTGGTGTAAAAAGGAAAAGTAACAAAAACTGAAGGAGTGATCTACGCACGTTCAAGTTCGTTGAGCGGAACAGCACACACACATGAGAGAGAGACACCATTCTCCTATACACATTCAAAGCAACCCTGAAAAGATACGATGACTGTTTGAAACACAACGAATAAATGCATGCAAATTGAGGACGAGTCCATATACTTACCAAATCATTCACAATTTCTTGTGAATATTCCTTTCCCGGTGTTAGCGTCTTGTTGGATAGCTGATCGACGAACACTTTCCATGGCTGAGAGGGTAACGTTGCATGAGAATGGAAATAAATGTATAGAATGAGAATTAGTGAGGACAAGCTGAGAAGTCTGTGGCAACAGTTCGAGCCTGGAAGCCGAGCGCACTACAGTTTGTTCACAAACATCAGACAGTGGTTGCAACAACAAAGCCATGGAAACGATGGAAAACTGATTGGTGATTCCAATCCAGTCAGAATATCGTACAGTGCGCGGAATCGCGAAGGACCTCCTCTGACGTTAACATGGAGTAGCTTATTCGAGTCTGGGTAAATAATGGGAGGATCTCAACACAAATAACGTAGATATGGATATGCTCTGTTGTTTGGACTTTCGAACGGGGAGTTGAATGATTAAAGGGAATCAGATCGGTACCTCAGCAGTTTCTGTTAAAGCTCGACTTAAAATGAATATTTTGCTTCTGGGAACATTGCTACAAGTATGCTGTTGTTTGAGCGCAAAAGTGATCCACATGAAAACTCACCACTTCCGCTGGTGTCTCAATTGACAGACCACCGTTTTCGATGGTTTGACCCGGTTTTTTACGAACATTGGCACGAGAAGCTGAAACGCGGGGTATCTTCTTGGAAGGCGGGACCACGGAGTCAGAAGATAGTTTATCCGTTGTTCCATCAAGCTCATGATCACCCTCATCAGGAAAGGTTACCTGATCAGGTGAGCGACGGTCAGCGGATCGTTTCCGACGACTGTAACGAAGCATAAAAGGTAGCTGTTCGTAAAACCGCCACGAGCAAAAAAACAACAAAAATGGAAAGATAAGCTGACGACAACTTACTTGGTGGGCAGTATAACTTCCAAAGGAGTTCCACTCGTAGCTATAAAAAGTGCAAAAAAAGGTGAACAGATGCACCATCGATTNAATGCGACTAAACGGGCACTCATCAAGAGCAATATTGAACTGCGATTACCTTGATAAAACCCGAAAGAGAAGTTCACTTCAAGTTTGGGAATGATGGGGATAACTATTAAAGCTGTATATCACCACACATCATTAGTTAAGAATAGCAGCTCTTTCTTTGTGTTCGCTTATGTGTAGAAAATATTTTCATTCATGCGAACTACAACAAAATCACATGATTTTAGAATACGGTTGTCAAGAAAAATGTGATCGATTACAATTCTGCAATTTTTTCTGCATTAAACCTACTGAACAAGAGAAGTATTTTGATGACCTTTTTGTTTCTTCTACACAATTTGCATAAAACCCGCTTTTGACTTTCACCGTCACTGAACCGCACACTTGTATAATACGCGTGAAGTAATCGATCCTATGCGAAGGAACCGCCGCTGCAGCAAATACCTTAAAAAATACTTGTCTTTTGCTAAATATTCCTGATGAGGAAAATTCATCCTTACTTGCAGTAACGGCTTCCGTCGTAACAGATGACATCACATACTTCGGGCGAGGTGGACGACCACGGCCGCGAGGGGTGGATTGAGTGGGCGCCATCGAACGCTTTGTGTCTTGCGATGGCTCACCAGTAGTTTGAGAGCATGCGGCCGCAGTCATGTCTGAAACCAACGGTCGTCGGGTAGGAGAATCCATTGACTGAACAGACCCGGCCTGAGCAGTGCTGTTATTTAAATTCGCGGCAACAAGGCTTGCGAAACCAATGGCAGCCGCCTGACATTAAAGAATGATTCAAATAAAACAAAAACTTCATAAAAGTCAAACTTGAATGTGTGTAAACAAGAACAAGCGTTATCACAGGTTAAATTTCACTATTAGGCATGATCTAAAATGTTGAAAATTGGTTCTCGTAGCTCCGGTGAACTGAATACCATTTCGCCTGTTCGCCGAGCTTGGCAATTTGTTCGCAAACGTTTCATCACCAGCCGAGGTGACATCATCATCGCTTGTGAAGTGGCCTGTACTTGAGAAGACGTCTGTGAGCATCCGATATCATCATGCGCACCATGCGTCTTCCGAATTGTTGTGAAATCCTCCAGGCCTCCGTGTGATTGATCGGTGGTCTATGATATATACTCCGTGGAAGTAGATTGCGTCATAAGTATTGGTGAAAAAAATAGCTGCTCGTAAGTGGAGACTTCTCGGCAGGCGAAAACCTCCCATCGGCGAGCTGCGTTTAGCGTTGTACGCCAGAATACTGTTGGCTTCACAAGCACTGATGATGTCACCTCGTTTGCAAACAAATTGCCAAGCTGGGCGGACAGGCGAAATGAAATGATCTCAAATGCTGTGCACAAACATGCATAAGAAAGGTCTTTCAGACTAATGACAAAGTATTAAACGCCAACACTGGAATAAGCAGAATCAATGCTAAAATCAAAGGTTGAACCAGGATCTCCAGACTTTTGGGTGTACTAGTCAGACCTGCTTGTTCTACT